ATCAGTGAACAGCAACAAATTAGCTGATTTCTGAGTATGATGGAAACGTCTTTGAAAGCAATGAAAAGTTATACATATACGATACACACATATATATGTATTCATATGGATATTTATATACACACGAACAGCCACATATATGTGTATATTTATATATACATATATATGCATATATATATATATATATATATATATATATATATATATATATATATATATATATATTATATATATATATATTATATATATATATATATATATATATATATATATATATATAGGCGTATGTGTGTGTAGATAGAAAAGTAGCTGGAATGACAGATGCAATATTATATATAGTAAATCACGCATGCACGCACTGACCGACACACACACACACACACAAATATATATACATACATACATATATATATATATATATATATATATATATATATATATGTAGGTATGTATATATACGTAATTTTCTTTCTGTCCATATGTACATACATATATAAACATGTATAATGTATATACATATATATGTATATATGTATATATATACATATATGTACTATTATATATAGTTCATCTACCTATATATATATCCATATATAGATGAGAAAATATCACCAATCTTTTAAGCAAACACCGAGAAACGGAATACGTCTTCAGCAAGTGGAAGCAGGATGTCAATCAAACCATAAGCATAGTCTTCCCTGAAAGTGAACTGAGAGTGCTTACCGATTCCTCGGTAGTATAGTGGTTAGTATCCCCGCCTGTCACGCGGGAGACCGGGGTTCGATTCCCCGCCGGGGAGGCCTTTTGCTTCTGCACTGCGGTGGCAAATGCAAGGCAGATGCACCGCCAAAGGCAAAGGCTGACCAAACGCTAGCTCAGCACGCGCTGAGGGGCACAGGGCGTTCAGTTAAATTAGTTTCGTAGTCTAGATCACTAATGTAAATGTAAATAGGAAACGAAAGAGGTAAAGGTTAATGGGCAAGATAATTGGTAAATGATCGCATGAACCATATTAATTTCGCATGTATAAAAAAAAAAAAAATGATGCTTGCATGTCTCTTGGTTTGCAAACGTGATGGTGACAATGTCCGAAATCATAGGAAACTCCAGGGCAGTATGGTTTTCATTATGGAGACCCTTAGATACGGCTTCAGTTTTTTGTACATGTGAAATTAATGTGGTTCTTTGGTCATTAACCCATTATCTTTTACATTTTTCGTCTATTAACCTTTGATGTTTACTTTTTCCTTTTCCGATATACATGCACATTAGTTATATAGGCTACAAAGCTTATTTAATTCCAATCAATGAGGTAGCGTTTGGTCAGCCTTTGCCTTTGGCGGTGCATCTGCCTTGCATTTGCCACCGCAGTGCAGAAGCAAAAGGCCTCCCCGGCGGGGAATCGAACCCCGGTCTCCGCGTGACAGGCGGGGATACTAACCACTATACTACCGAGGAATCGGTAAGTATTTTCAGTTCACTTTCAGGTAACACTATACTTATGGCTTGACATCCTGCTTCCGCTTGCTGAAAACAACGTATTCCGTTTCTTGGTGTTTTGCAGAATACATCTGATATTTTTTCCATGTATATATGGACATATAGATGATACATATATATATATATATATATATATATATTATATATATATATATATATATATATATATATAATATTTATATATAGGTATGTGTGTGTCTATAGACACCTAGTAAATAACGCATGCGAGCGTGCGCGCACACACACATATATGTATGTAAACATTGCATATGCATGTATATGATATATATGTCAGTGTTTGTATCCGTGTATGCCTATATATCTATATATATCTATATGTTATATTTGTCGTGCCATCTGCCTGCTTATCCAGCTATATGTCTGTATATATATATATATATATATATATATATATATATATATATATACTTCCTGGTTCACAGTTCACGTGAACTGTTCTATCCATCATGCCTAATATGATCTAATATACAGAGTGAAATGCCTACTTCATTATGTAAAAAAAATTCCTTCGGACTCTCGAGATCCTCCTAGAAAGTGTGATAATATCTCGTGGTATTCCTATGTCAACTGGCTGAGTCACAGGTTATCCCTTCCTTTATGGCTACTGTTATCAGCTGCATGAGACTTCTTGTTCACCCCGCTGCCTATTAATAAAGAAATGCTTTCCCCTTCCCCTATCTTCGTTTTTCTTTCTTTCTTTCTTTCTCTTTTTTTCTTCTTTTTCTTGATAAAGGTATCCGTGATGTAAACCTTGAGCTTCCTCTCATTTCGGACATTGTCATCATCACGTATGCATGTTGATACTAACCACTATACTACCGAGGAATCGGTAAGTAGTTTCAGTTCACTTTCAGGCAACATTATGCTTATGGTTTACTTGTATTCAGTTTCTTGGTGTTTTGCTGAGTACAGAAAGGATATTTTTCCATTTATATATGCACATATAGATAGGTAGATGAACTGTCATATGAAATAGTAA